CACACAAATGGTTCGGAAATCTGACAATGTAAATCTGTGTTTTTTTTAATGGAGTTTGGTTGGCTGTCGGTAAATTCAAAGTGATGGGTTTGGCTTTGATTTTATTGGTTGGAAAAAGAACTGACTGACGTCAAGATATCGGTAGTGTTGTCCATTCTGCTAACGTTGTTAACAGCCCTACGATCGTTGAAAAAAAGGTAAGTGAACATCAACTGATATTTGATTTAATTTTTCACGATTAGAAAGATGCAATGGGGCARTGCCGAGTGTGATCAGCCTCTTTTTACATCCCCGAATATCGACTGTTTACTCAAAAAGTTTCAAGCCGTACCCCCGAATGGCCGCTCGTAACTAGTTCATATGTTGTACCATTCAAAATATTCGTGAATAACACTTTGGTTCATGATATACATGTCTTCTCGAATGGAATGGATTTTCCATGGTAGAATATTAAAATTTCTTAAAGGCATCAGCTCAACCATGCAGTACCCCATTGTAATTATAAAACTGAGAAATAAATCATTGCCGAAAGCGGGATTTTTTTAAGAGTAAGAATACCGAAGTCCAGGTCAGTGTCATTTAGTTTCAGTTATCTAAACTTGTGCTTCATTTTTTTTTCTTCCCTTCCCAAGCAGGTTTTTATAGCTTTATGCTTACTAGTTGATCCGTTTTTCTTTAGTATTGGAATCTTTAAAACACATGAAAATAAGCTTAACTGATCGAAAATCGAAAATCAATTTTTTTCTCATTAGCATAAAATCTCTGATATTCCTACAATTCTCAAGTATTTTTTCTTAGTTTTTTTCTTTTTACTTATTTTTTTTATTTATTTATTTATTTTTTTTGCGGCTGATGATCGAGAAATTGTCTTCAGTTTTTCAGTGAGACATTGCTATTAATATGATTTTGTTTTTTTGCTTTTAATCAAGCGTCGGAACTTCAAAGTTAATTAAAAATTCGAAAACGAACGTAATGACCATATTTGGAAAATTCTGCCGTTCAATTTAAGGCCCGTCCTGGTCGGCTCACAGCGATGACTTTGAACCTATAATAGTAAAAAATAAAATTTTCCTTAAAAAAATAGTCTACTTTTATTTTATTCAGTATCACAATGCATTATAAATGGTTTTAAAAAATTTCCCCTCCCTATATATATATACTGTAGAGGCAAGGGAGGAGACTCCGCTCGAAATTCTCCTAAAAATGAGCCAAAAACGATCGACAAAAATCGATTCGAAATACGCGCCGAAATTCTT